GGAGAAATGCGGTTACGAGCACTGCCTTTGGCGAGAGTTTTGTTCATAACTCAAAAAAGCAGAAAATTTTTTCGTGTACCACAACAAGAACGGCAAACCCGCTCTGCAAGATCAATCCCAGCGCCACTCACATCTCACTGAACACGATTTTCTTATGGGTATGGTGCCCCAATGTGTCGTTTTTGTTCACCCACTAGTGGACTACCGTTGGAGCTGCTTTGCAGAGTCTAATGTCCTGTGTTTCACATGAAGATGCCGCTCTTTGTACCTCTTGAAACTTGAGAGATCGTGTGAGTATCCTCGCGACCTTGTTGGCTCACCTAGAGACCAATAAAGTGCTACCAGTTTCATAATGTCTAGTATAGTTTCCGCAGTATTCCTAATGTAGAAGGAAGGACCACAAACAGGTGGAGGAAGCCATTTTTGCCATGACCGTTCTCCTCTCATAATACTATGTCTTCTAAGCTCACATTGACTTCATTTTGGTTCATATACAAGTATAGCTGAGTTGGTTGCCTGTATATTCCTTCACCGTCCGGTTACACTTGTTAAATTCATAGTTAACTTTTTGTTTTGATCTCAGAGAGTGAACAACGGTAGTGATGAATGCAGTGGCCTCTACATCATCCATGCCATCGCCAGAAGAATTCAGAGTCAAGGCAAGTTTTTTTTTCATCCATTTAATTACAAATCATCAGTTAAATACTGCCCCTTCTATCCTACCTGCCCATCGGTGGTCTATTGCCTTCTTCGTTACAGTCACTCGCCTACATTGCTATGAAGATGATTAATAAGGTAGCGAATTCCTTGATAGGCTGAGTCAAGACCATTTTCTAGCAAGCTAAACATGAAGCCGAGGTGATCATTTCCACAGCAACAAATCCGATACCACAATATTCGAGACTGGGTCAAACGCCCCACACATGCATTCCAACACTGTTAAGTAAGCACTAGTGTTTAGCTTTCGCATGCTCCTATACCATCCCAGTGCTACCTCGGCGATCATCGTTCTCCGAGTGGTGTCTCATAGACCATCGAGAATCGCATCCGTCCAAAGAACGGTCTTTTTCCGAAGTGTCGGCTATTTTTTATTCTTTTCTTTCCACTGTCGATAAACTTCGCACATCTATTTTCATGCTCAAGTGTACTAATAACAAGTACATGATGGTGTAGGAGGAATGTGCCATAAAGAAATGTCATTTCACCCTAATTTATCCTGGTCGTGGGCAACTGCACAGGTTAGAGAAAGGTATAGCCGAACCAAACACCCTGAGTTCCAGCGACCGTGATGGGTGTTGTGGATTCTCATCATTGTTAGACGGATGGTTGTCGCCATTGCTCAAAACATGACTTTAAAAGACCGCTGCAGTGATATGCCCGTAATAAAATTACTAGCGGTAGAAGTGCAATCAGATCTACTAGGTTGTCGGAAAAGTCTTTGGCCCTTTGTCGATTTTTTTCTAATCCATTTTTCTTCTTTGGCACAGTGTGTAATTTACAAACATATATGCCCCAGCACAAGCGCCAACATATTGCCTTTTAGCAGGTAACTTGTGGATGCCGTTCGTCTGGAAAAACTGAGCTTTTGAAGCAAAAAGCTTGACGAGTAGGTCCGGTTCATTAAGCTCTCCCTCATTTGGTTGATTTGACAGCAACGGTAGGAGATGGAGTTCTGTTAGTGCCGGGCTGCTGAACGCAACAGGTGGGACAGAACGTCCCATAACGGGCTTGGAGACTTTTGCTGAACCTTCTTCCAAATTCGTTGACGAGCGTTGCCTGGTTAAAGTAAACTTTTCCATGTTTTAGAAGCATAGTGCCGCGAACCCATCCATTTGCCCATATTATGGTTCAATAATAGCAGTGCAGTTCTTTGGTAGGAGCTGGCAGTGAACGAATCGCTTGGAGCTTCACCAAGTCTTAAAAAGTACCTCCCCAGGTTTTCGTACTGGAATCGCGTTGAATCCTTGATCTAAACGCGTCAGGCCACTGCTTAATACCTTTGTGGATCCCCTCTCATAAGGATAAAGGATAAAGGATAAAGCATTTGCCGTTGATCAATCCCTTTTTGGGATGCGGCACGCATTCTACTTCCATTTGTACATTCGCAGTGGCATTTGAAGGGTGTGTCGTTTGGCGCGGCCCCTCGCAGCAACTTTGCCATCGGGACGCATGGACCGTAATTGCCACACTCGCCCCTCCCATGTCTTGGCCAAACAACTCGTCCACATCAGCTAACCGCTAGATTTACGTAAATGGCCGATCTACAGTGGAGCGCGCCAGAACAGCGTTCCCTCACTTTCCCAATCTCAATTCTTCTTCCGGCTTATTTCCTACGCTGACATCGCTTTGCACACTTCATCTGTTAGAATACTGTAAGGTTACTTCGAGGTGATTGTATCACGAATCATTTTGGAGTTGTGATACAATGTACTTCCCAGCAACTTGCAGTTCATAAAACGATTTCCTTCGGTCTTTTATGTTAAGAAAACAGTTTATACGAGTTCCATTGTAGTTTTATGGCTAGTGGTCTTTTTCCGGATACACTTGCTCTTTTTGAATGTGTGACATGAGCAGAGAAGTCTCTTGCTTTCGCGCTATGTGATGAATACGTGGAAAGCATTCATCATGATGGAAACACAAGCTCCAGGCGATCACTGAGAAAGGGTTAATTGTGCTGAGCATTTTGCTATTTTTCGTATCCTGTCCTTTTATGGTGTGAGGTTGAATTTATACGTCCGACTATGAGCTCAAAAGAAAGTGGAGATGTCCTCAACGCGCTGTTTCAGTCACATAGAAATCAACACTGCACTAGTCGGTAAAATTTACCTGTGATTGTCATCCGTAATGAGTATGACTTTGCGTCCATTGCGGCCCTGTTTCATTGGATGCTCCCTTCCATTTGGATACGGAAATTGATGTTTTCCAAGCCAGTGATTTTACTTCTAGTTTGCCAACGGCATGTCTCATCCCAATCTCGTTGTATTTGGATCTCTCATGGGCATATTGGATGCAACATCGCACGTCTCATAGTCCCTCTAGCAATAATTACTGAGAAATGTCATTCTGTTGAACTGGGCATAGCAACTCGTTAAAAGGAAAACTCAAAGAGGGCTGAATACGAGGGAATAGTACGGAATCTCTTATACGATACCATTCAATTTAAATGATGATAAAGTGCACGTTGGAGGAAAAATCACCAGTTCGAAAATTTGGACTTCAGAATTCTGCTGAATAGGGATAGCTAATGAAAAGGGTTCGCAAGCGGTGGCGATAACAAAAAGGACGAGGAGATCAAAATGCAGTGCAAAGATTTCAAGTTGGCTGGTGAGCCCTACGCTATTTATTTAGATTTGGACGATTCGTTCAACAAAAAGCAATACAAGCGGTGGAATTGAAATTCATTATGAATAGGGGTCGATGCAAGAATTTCAAAACAGTCCTCTTGACAAGGTAGATTCACCTCATCATCTTGAGCATTCTCATTATGTACTGCAAGTTGCTGTGAAGTGGAATGTATCACAGCTCCAAATGATCGTGGCACAATCACTTCGAAGTAACTCTGCAGTTGGTTCGAATTGAACGTGCAGAACGAAAAGAAGTCGAAGGAAGAATCGAGATTGGTCGCGCTCCACTGTAGATCGGCCAATTATGTAAATCTAGCGGTTAGCTGATGTGGACGAGTTGTTTGGCCAAGGCATGGGAGGAGCGACGGTGGCAATTACGGTCCATGCGTCCCGATGGCAAAGTTGCTGCGAAGGGCCGCGCCAAACGACCGCCTCCCGCATTTGAATGCGATGTGGCCTATACAATGACTTGCGGGGGCCAGCCGATGTACAAGTCAGTGTTTTTATCCTCCCAGACAAGTCTGGTACCAATTAACCGACCCCGGAGGGATGGAAGGCTTGGTTGGCCCGGGCGACTCACGACCCAGGATTTGATCCCGGACCCGCTCGCGTGGTGAAGCGCGCCACTTGTCACTGCACCACTTCCGCGCCCTCTGATTACCACCAACAAAGTAGTTCAGACAAACACGAGGCAGATGCTAAATCAAAATATTCTCATGCAAAATCTGAAGGCCTCTGATGGCGGTTGTCACCCATATCACAAAATCTTCCTTTTGCCATAATTTCTCTTCTTTTTGAGGAGCTATTGAGGAATGGCTATTGTGTTCTGATAACTTTGAAAAAGCTGCGTCAGTTCCCGTGCATTGCTCCGGGACTGTTTCCAAACAGCTCCAGAAGACACTCGTCATTCAGTGGAACTGAGCCAACCAATTTTGTGCATTTTCTCGAGTTTCTGGACTTCGGCAACCAAATGTTCAAGAATTCTATTTCACGGTTTTATTCTTGCAGCATGGCAATGGCGAGGGTCCCCCTAGTTAACATTTATCTCAATAACGCAGTCTTTATTTCTCAGAAAACCCTGCTCTAAGGCGAGGGCATTGTCTAGGATTAAGGCTTAGTCCTAGACAATGCCTCGTATCTTGCGATAGCGCCAAGGATTATGCTGATTACACGGCCGTTGTTTTGGCTGAAGCCAGGCATCTGCACCTCACTCATATCTGGAACATCTATAAGGTAGTTCTAGACGCACCGATAAAGTTGGAAGCCTAATTTTTTCAAAAATGGTTTGTTGCCCGATATGGAGGCATTCTTGAAAAGCAGACCGACGGTTTTCCTCAGCGCCCTTCTGGATGCCGAAAAAGGGGTCAAAAAGCTTAGGCGCCACACATTTTAATACCAGTTTTTGGTAGACACCTACTCAGAGGGCGAAAGTAGTGTAGTGGCAAGTGGCACGCGGCAAATTTACTGGGTGATCAATACGGTCAGAGAAAAACATCGTCCCTGTCGTACCCTTCTGGGATGGCAAAAAATGTAGCAAGTTTGCAAATGTCCCAACAACTACGGCCGACTGCTGCAGCGCACTTGATTCACAGAGGGCATAGCCAACTGTGTAACTGAGGAAGCTTCGAGTGCGTGCAAAAATCCTTCCAGTTTCAGACACCGCGATCACGAAAAGAGAACAGACTTTTGAAGGGGGGTTTCATCGACGATAACAACGATGATCTTTCCTACTTCAACTTCCGGATACTTTGGCCAGCCGTTACGTGTGCAGTGTTTTCGATGACGTGTTTCATAGGTACAGTTCCTCAGTGTTCGACGCGTAACCTATGGAATAATGTTTGCTTATTTAGTCGCCATAGCTGGCTCGTTACATACGGACTATGTGCCCACAGAGAAGGAAATAAAACGGTCGTTTTTCGCTAAATATGGCAGCTCATTCTACCAATGTAATGTAAGTTGTATGGCTACACTTGCGTTTAATTATACATTCAAATAAAATAACACTGGAGAGCAGAAATCTTTCACTGGTGCTTTGATGTTTAGTCGACGCTGTCGATGCCAACGAATGGTCTGCCATCCGTTTTGAATCTGTTCGAGACCAATGTTATCGGTAACATTCTCTTCCGATTATGCGTGTGCATACCGATGGTTGTTCGGTTGTTCATTACGAATTGTCACAGGTGGGAACATTTCCATCCATGAAACACCGGAGCACCGAACATTTATTCAAAAACTGCAACCTATCAAAGGCTGTATTAAAAGGTATATATGGGCATCATGGAGCACTTTTCTAGATGCTTTATCTGACCACATATCCATGTTGTTGGCCAACATTGCAAGCCACCTTCCGTAACGGAGCACTGAAGTTTCTTCACAATTGCTCCTCAGCGGGGGGGCGGGGGGATGTAACACATTGTTTTGACAATGATCATCGCCAAAGTGCCAGTATTGGTAGTAAGAATTGCAGAATGGTTGTAGAATTCGAATTAGGGGTCAGATTTGGAAGGTCAGACTGCGGAAGAGAGAACATTCCACGGAGATCTAAGAATGCCTTCTGTGAGCTCCTGTTTCGCCCCTAACCTGCGGTTTAACGTCGCAATATTATACGGCACTTGTTATATAGGATAGTGTCTGTAGCACTTGTGTCGAGAATCTGATCCACAAAGTAATTTACTGTCCATTATCGAAAGTGAAGAGATTGTGTCAGATATTGGGGGAACTCACAGCACCAGTCCATGTTTTATCCTCCCGTCTTTATCTCCCAATGTTGCAACAAACGACCGTTGTGAGGACAACGTACCACCACTGAAGAACACGATCCCAGGATTCAAATCCTCGAACATTGCTTCTCGACGCCAATCCCCTCAACCACCCTATTTTCATTATCAAAATTAAGCAATATGTTCAGCCTAATTGAGCGAGATGTGGATTTAGCGGATTCTTCTCGTCCGAATACAAAACTCCTTTCTTCTTCGAGTTCTGTTGAAGTGTACCCTGTCACCTGCATAGAATGTCGCCCGCGTGTTTAGCATTGTCAGCTGCTCACTTCGGACTTTTGCGCGAACGTCTGCATTTTCTCTTCCAGATAAAAGAAAACAACAAGAAGGACGATTTACAGAGGTCAACAGATTCTGCAAAATCGTGTTTGTTATGGTTGCTGGCACGAGCATGGTGGTGACTACTGCGGTTCAATACTCTTTCAGTAAAAGCTCACATGAGGTTAGTGGGTTTTCCATTTCCCACCGCATTCAAAAGGATTCTAGCAAACCAGAAGCGGAATTCCAAATTTCAGGAGATCTGATCAATTCTCACGCTATTTGAAGATATATCGCGCTGCACTTCTGCCTTACTGCACCAGTACTCTCGCACAACCATTCGCATTTTCATTTCCCAGGTTGCTTCGTACGGGTCAAGTTTCCGTCTGATAACTGACACATTTTCGTAGTAAGATGAAGCCTATCGCTCTGCGACTCTCAGTATAGATCTTTCAAATATTTCCCAGTCAGCGAAATGCCTGTCTGGCGCCAAACGCTTTTCACATTTACTTGGATTTTAATCTCGTATTTTTCCAACCCAAACCGTGATCAATCAAGCCTATTACGATGTTGCATGCCTACGCATATCATCTTCATCGTTTTCGGCTGCACTTGATAATTGTTCAGAAAAAAGTCAACGGTTCCTGCTCCGAAGCTATCAAGTCACCTCAACAAAAACCTTGCAAATGGTGTTGCCAGTCCTAGTTGTGGAACTGGTCCCTTGGATGACCATGAATGTCTGATATATGCAACAGATAAGCTGTTAAGGAGATACAACTACATTCAAATATCCTATTCATGCGCAAAAATAAAATCGAAAGCCGAAGATCGGAAGTACCCGTCCGTCGCAGAATCACCCACAGAAACAGCACTATTCAATGTCCCCCAAAATCATTTGAACAAGAGCCATAGTTCACGAGAAGCTTAGAAGAACGAAAAAATGCGTTTGTTTCGGTGAATCTCCTAAAAACTTCTTTTTTGCTAATTTTCCTAAGATTTTAAAAACTAGAAGATTTCTCTAGTTTTCAACGGAATTGTCGCCGTAAATCTATTATAAATGTTCGTGGTGGGAACTTTCACTTGGCCTGCCGGTCGTGTGCTGTCATTAGGAACTATTTTTAAACTATTCACACAATGCATCAACGCATTGTTCTCTGAAGCCTTCGCAGTACATTCGAAGCGGTAACGAATCGATTAGGGAGCCAGCTCTTCACCCGGCAGTGCCTTCAGGCTCTATGAAGTCACAACGATCTTATTACTACTAGCACAAGATCAAACTCAACTTCTGTTCCTCATTTGCTGTGGGCTGTCCTAGGTTCCTTTCCCGCAGGAATGGAACGGGTTACATGGTCGTGGACTGTAGGCAATTCGAAGACCATCTTCGATGATTCATTCCTTGATTTCTTGCTGAATTATGCACGTGGCAACTGGACCAGCTGTCACTGCTTATCGCCTGAAAAGGAGTGGCTGCAAGCTGAATCTAACGAAAAGTTCTTTTTTTGTAGAGGCGTCTCTTGAAAGTTTAAGCTTTTTTGGCACACAGAACGGAACTGATCTTTGAAAGACGTAAAAGTTCGTGAAAATCCGGAGGCAGTGACTACGATGAGTTCTTCCCGGTTCAGAGGGGATGTGGGATGGTAAATGGAGCGCCACTGTCAAAAAAGCAGAGGAAAACAATAACACGCAGAATGGAACCACCACAACCACAACCACCTCATTTGCCCGTTCATTTCCAACCATGAAGCGGCGTTCAAGAGAGAGGTCGTTATAACGTGTGACTCTGATAAGCGAGATCGTTCCAACAAACACGCTTCGACCGACAACGCATTACGCAGACAGACAGAAGATCCAGCAGCATGAAGTGAAATGCTCTCTCAACACGATAGTGAAAGATGATGCTACGAGCAATACATAGAGTTAGTTCCAAATCACCAAATAAGCAAATATTTGAAGCACTTTTGGGGGCGTAATGGTTTCCAGTTTTGGAGGTTGCTGCGCTCCAAAAACACTGCTTACTTAGCCGCTTGGCTACTGGTTACAGTGGCGCAAATATTGGGTTACCCAGAGAATCCTGCGACACTTTGTCCAAGATTTTTCATTGTACCTTCTTTTGTTGAATGGGATATTCAATCAGCAAGGTTATCACCGGTAGCAAGTAGGAG